TTATTCCAGTCTACATACGCCGTTTGATTTGGTGTAATGTGTCTAGCCTCGTCCCTCGAGTCTCTTTATACAACTGGGGCTGAAGCGCATTATGGTACACGATTCGTGTACCAATGGTAAAATGTTTATTTTGTCTTAAATATTGGATATCAAAAGCCCATCTTTTTCCGGTAAGAACACAAAATGAATGTTGATTTAATTTGACAAATAATCCGTGTTTTCAATGTTGAAGATTTTGGATGATATTGAGTTAGAGACTTAGCTACTTTAAAGTGTAATTGTGAGTTGTCTTGTGCCACTAACGAGACCCAAAAACAAAGGGGTCACACAATTTCGGCTTAATCCTTACTGATTATTCCTTAACACTGACGTGTTTAGTAGTAATTTTAATAATTAATTTGCAGTGGATATGAAGTTCAGATTTATTTTTAACTTGTTTGTTGACAGGGTTCTTTTGTTGATTGTATCTAATCATAGCTATAATATTAAATTGTTTATTGCAAATATATATATATACCATAATATTTTTCATGCATACAATTACTGTTTTAATAAAATATTAATCAGTCTCTAATTAAAATACATTACAACGAATTGCAACGAAAGTATACATTCATGTTTTGTCATCAAAGATCACATACACGAGTTATCTCCCGTGAACTTCCGATTTGGGCACAAAGCAGCGTGGCTTATTAAATTCAACTAAATTGTTATTTTGTGTTTTCACAGTCATTGGGTAAGTCGACGCAAATTGTTATTTTGTGGTTTTTTGGAGTTAGGCCAATTGGGTAATTCGAGGCACCCCGACGCGCCCTACGTTATCATAATCATGATGCATAAATGCATAAAAAATTTAAATAAATACACTTACGCCTTCATCTGGCCTGTGGAGAGATCAAAATAGTTATTCGTTATATTATAATGTATTATACATTTAAAATAAATTAGTTTTGTGGGAGGAATCGGGGATTTTCGAAGTGAATTCCGGTGATTTTAAATGATTTCCGGTGATTAGTCAACCGCCTGAAATACAGTGTGCTGCAAGCAGGGCTCTCACACTGTCGGTCGCCAAAGTCGCAATTTGCGATAAAAATATAAAAGTGGCGATTAAAATTTGCTTTTAGCGATAACGTTTTGCGGTACTGGCGATTCTTTTTGAAAACTGGCGGAAAAAAATCTTAAATTTCTAATGTATTTATCCTGGATTAACCATTACAATTGTATTGAGTGTCTATCACGTGGCGGCAGATTCTATAAATTAATCAACTGGCTTATAATCCGGATCGCGTCAATGAGTAATACTAATCAGTTGTCTTGGATTAATGATTAGTTGATTGATGATTTTATTGCCAATGATATATATAAAGCTCAAGTCATTTATTTACTCCTATATGAGTAATCCAAGCGGTGATTATTTGATGTTTGTTTCGTCTTTAACACAAATGGCCGACAGTTCTTTTCGCATCCCAAACTTAGGCTGCCTGTCTACAGCTAGCTCCGCCTGAAAACAGGCTCTTAAGCTAATTACCCGACATTTTAATTCCTACATCGACGATTTATGTCGAAAACACTGAGTATGTTTTTAGTAATTTTTAGAAGTATTTATTTCTCTTCTATTGTCATATTGAATGAAATTAAATATATTTATTTAGCCGCTGTGTGTATGAAAGATCTCAAACAAATCAAAGCCGAAACACAAAATTAAATAGTCCCCTAATTATTCAATATGGCGGCGCCCATAAAAGGTGATTTCACAGAGGCGGCTTTGTTTGCGAAGACAAATTTAGGAGTATCTAACCTTGTTTTGAAAGATAAACAGATTGAAACTCAAAAGACAGTTTACAATGGCAAAGAATGTATTGCAATATTACCCACTAGCACATATTATATATAGCTTTTTTTCCGGATTGGCAAAAGTTGACATTTTGCTAAAGACATGTGTTTACATAAAACACGTGCTTGATCGGGTTATTTTTACTCTGTTGTGTACGCAAAGCTGTAGTCCAGTCGGTAAGTCCCGCCCCAAAATGATCAAGTGAACGTTTTAAATGGCGGTTAACTAGGGCAGTGATCATAATGACGTATGATGTAGACGGATCGCTGCGTGCAGTTTGTTCTTTTCGAAGAGAATTAAATATTTTGATAGTTGAATTCCGTTTACTGTCATGGCTTCATACAGCATGCAAAATATAAGAGCATGTCTATCGGATATTATTATTTCAAATTATAATGTTGTCACCACTGGTCGGAAACGTCAGAACGGGTTGAATAACGACGATTTTTTTAGCCATTTGTATCACATTACTGTCGCCGAAATGCTCTAAAAGTGAACGACGAGTATAATTCTAAGCATCTCATAAACAAATATAACTGAAACTTATTTCATTCTATCAGGGATTCAGATTTTGATACCTTTATACGGTACCTGAAAATTTAGGCCTATTGTACATGCAAAACATAAATTTATAGAAAACTGGCAATCCTTTAATGAGATCTGACGTGTAAATACTGAAAATATATTGTGCAGCACCAGTACGGTGTGCAAATAGACTAAAGTCACCAAAGATAAAATCTGTAGCCTACTTAGTGAAATGAAATGGGGTTTAACGCCCTACTGTTCTGCTCCTATACTGGTCTAATGAAGACGGCCATACGCCATACAGTGTGCCATGAGGGAAATTTTGCCCGGGCAGCGGCACTATCGCCTATCGAATTCCAACTGCCAAGGGATCTTTTACGTGCATTCCAATGTTTACACGGGACCTCGGTTTTTCGTCTCATCCGAAAGACTAGACAGCTGTCCTTGTCAGGCCCTCCGTCCTGCATCACTGACAAGGGTAAACCACGTCTGAAAATCGGGATGTACTTTCTCGGCCAATGCAGGGATCGAACACCCAACCTCCAGGGCCAGGCTAGCGAGCCAGCGCCTTACCCACCTAGACACCGTGACTCCTAGTCCTAGCACTTAGTACTAGTAGTCCTACCGGTAAATCAAAACCCGTGCTAATGTAGGCTATTATGTAAAGACAGACTTTTAAAGTTGTTGTACATTGTATATCCGGTAATTGTTTTATACTGAGACAAAAAATTGTTACATGTTGACTTTTTTTATACGCCCACATTTTCATGCGGACATATTATGCCGTCGCCCCTGTCCGTCCGGACGTCCACAATTGTTTGTGGACTCTCTACAGGTCACAATTCTTATCCGATTTTGACGAAACTTGAAATATAGGTTTATCCCCAAAAGATCTCGGCTGCTTTCGATATTGGCATGTATCGCATCGAAACTTCATGGATTATGGCCCCTGATTGTACGAAAAATCACGTTTTTAGCTTGTGGACCCTATAGAGGTCACAATTTTTATCCGATTTTGTTGAAACTTGAAATGTAAGTCTATAACTTCCTTTCGATATTCGCGCACATCGGACCGTAACTTCCTGAATTATGGCCCCTGATTGTACGAAAAATCGCGTTTTTAGCTTGTGGACCCTTTTGAGGTTATAATTTTTATCCGATTTAAAAAAAACGTATTATTATATCACCGTTACACCCTAAGGACGACTGAGTTCGAATTTCGTGAAAATCGGCCCAAAATTGACAGACAAAATGGCCGCCGTTCGTTCTCAAATAGCGTAAAAATATGGTATATCAAGGTTGTGGACCCTATAGAGGTCACAATTTTTATCCGATTTTGTTGAAACTTGAAATGTAAGTTTATAACCCAAAAATTTCGGTTCCTTTCGATATTCGCGCATATCGGACCGTAACTTCCTGAATTATGGCCCCTGATTGTACGAAAAATCGCGTTTTTAGCTTGTGGACCCTATGGAGGTCATAATTTTTATCCGATTTAAAAAAAAACCTATTATTATATCACCGTTACACCCTAAGGACGGCTAAGTTCGAATTTCGTGAAAATCTGCCCAAAACTGACAGACAAAATGGCCGCCCTTCGTTCTCAAATAGCGTAAAAATATGGTATATCAAGGCTGTGGACCCTATAGAGGTCACAATTTAATCCGATTTTGTTGAAACTTGAAATGTATCGGTTCCTTTCGATATTTGCGCATATCGAATTGTAATTTCCTGAATTATGGCCCTTGATTGTAGGAAAAATCACTTTCTTTTTAGCTTGTTCTCATTCCGGGGGGTTGGATGGCTGAATGGTTAGCGTGCGCGCGCTGTATCATAAAGTCTGTCATTGAGTCGACTGCTGGCGTGGTTTCGAATCCCCGGTTGTACGTGGCAAGGAGTAGGGTCGCCTGTCCAACCTCGTGGGTTTTCTCCGGGGCCTCCGGTTTCCTCCCACTGCTAAAGACCCCTACGCGCAAGCGAATTATGTAAATAAAGTTAAACCATATGTTAGTCCCGAAATGACCTAGTTTGTGTCTAGTGGACGTTAAACCCCATTTCTCTCTCTCTCTCTTTGTTCTCATTCCATCTCTCGAAAATGTGGGCGTATTCTGCCTGGCAGCCGCTGGTTATCACAAATTTTTGTAAAAGCCAGTGTGAGCCCTGGCTACAAATGAGGACATTTTGCCAGGGTGTAGGCCGATAGCTGGCGTTTCTTCGATAGCCAACGAGTGCGACGGATGGACACGTTTTTCTTCCCATCCAAAGTTCGGTACGGGTATTTTGCACAGAGTTTATGAAAAACACTGAAAATTGATGCGACGTCTCGTAATTTAAATTTGAGAGTTCGATGTCTCTGCCATGCAGCGATGTATCGACTGATACTATAGTGATAGTCTCAAATCATGGGTAGGCTACCCGGTAGAGAGCTATGGACTCGTACGTAGTCAATCGACGAAGACATTAAAATAAGCCAAGAAGTGCTTTTGAAACATCTCTTAGCGCAAATGATAAAAACAATGAAAAGAACGAAAGATAACATACACCGAACAGTGAACACTGTCGGTAAAGATTAATAATTTCCGCGCCAAGGTGTTATTTACAGATTGCCGCGTGACCCCATGAATATATCACGTGACATGCGGCCATTATGCTAAGGATAAGAAAAGATGTCTTCACCATTTCAGGCCATTAAATTAATAACCTATCTCAGATTTCTGAATTAAACAATGCCCGGACCTGTCGGACGATGGCTAGAAACTTTCATGTGTAAACACTACGCAGATACCTTTGAGACATTTGGATACAAAACACTCCAATCAGTGAGTATGATTTGTAACACGAACAAATATGGCGGATTTCTATCATTCAGCTCAGAATTATTTCTTTAATTTAGAAAAAAGTCTTTCAGCTAAAGTGATGTTCTTGGTTTTGTAGGTATGCCAACTACAGTCTCAACAGTTACAGGCAATGGGTGTAGCCCAAGAACATTGTGATCTTATTTTGGAGAATGTTTTTGTGTTAAGACAGACGATTTTAGGTGAGGACACGAAAATAAAGTAGCATGGATTATCCAGGAAATATCGAGACATTCTGACAATTACTTTGTATGACTCAGTTGCCCACACCAGTTTATTATGATGTTATAAATATCTTAAAACTTTTTGTTATGCAAAGGATATTTTATTGACTTGACTAAATACTGAAATTAATTACATGACTTCTAGGATTAGTAAACGGTTTACAAAATATCACAGGCCCTAGATCTATGTCTACTAGTACTATAGTATTACTAAGCAGAAGCTACAATAACGAATAAGTGAAACATGACTAATAATGAATGATCAATGTCCATGTTTATTGGTGTCTTTGAACATTTACTTTTAATAGGTACCATAAAAACAGTTTGTACAATGTTCATGTATGGTACATGTAATTGAGAGTATGAATCTGTCCTCAACTCATGACACTCTCCAAATTAAAAAAAAATGTTAAAAAATCTGTTTAAAATGAAACTTTGATTGTTTGATATAGCATGAATTGGCATGAAAGTCAGTAATTACTATGATAGTATGATACTGAGTATTTTATTTTGTTTAATATTAATAACTAACTATATGGGATGTTAAACATGTAATTGAGAGAGGACATACATGTATGCACAATGGAACCTTACAGGTAGCATATTTTGGCCTATGTAATTTGGTTTAACGTAGGGCCTATACATTTTGAGACTAGCATGGTGGTTTTAAATTACTGTCAATGTGGTTACATGTTGAAAGAGAGGGAGGAGAATATTTTGAACTTATCAAAGCAAAATTTGTGAAGTTTTCTTTTACAAACAGTACACTGGCAGCACTCATTCTTAACCCACCTACCGGTACACATGTTAGCCACAGAGTGTCTTCAGATTAAAAAATTACCAACATGGGATTCGAATCCAGAACATTTCATTTGAGAATGCGCTGGCTACTCAACTACCCTCCTGCATATTTGATCAGAATCCTCTTCCAAGCAACTTGTCAATATAAAAACTGTTATATATCTACCCTTAATTTATGTAAGAATTTGTGTGTTTTAATATAAATGAATATAAATAAAGCCATTCTTGGGATGTGCATGTGATATCAAATATGTTGTAGAATATTGTTTAATTTTAAATCATAGCCTACATGTTTTTATGTATTTACAGCCAACAATTCAAAACATCTCCCTAATCAACAATCCTATAATCCTACAGTCAACCCAGCAAGTAGTGCTTTAAGATCTGTAGCTATGAATAGTAATTATCAGAGAGGGACACAGAACCACTATCAAGAGGAATATCACAACTATGGCCCAAATGGAAGTCAAATGGCGAGTATGAGCTATCAAAAACACTATGAAGAAGAGAGAATGGGTGTAAGTACAATAGATCTTTTAAAGTTAAAGTTATATGTTCTTATTTTTAAAGTTATAAACTGGATTTTTGTGGTAGTTGGAAAATAATTAAATGTTGGAGTGGGCAGTTCAATGTTATTTAAAGTTATCTTCGTCTCACAAAAGTGCAGTATCGATACAATAATTGAATAATGAAGTCAGCTATTAAAATGGGTTCGTCTGTCTGTCCGTCACACTTTTTGGGACACAATAACTCTCTTTCTAATTGAGCTAGAATGTTCAAACTTGGTGTAGGTGTTTATTAGGTCAATGCTTTGATGGAGTTCGAAAATGAGCATTTTCTGCTTAGGGTAAACAGAGATAAGCAATTTGATAGGTTGATGCTCTGGGACACGATAACATTAGTTCTAATTAAGTGAGAGTGATGAAACTTGGTGTATAGTTTCATTACATCAATACCTTGACTAAGTTCGATAATGAGCATTTTCTGCTCAGGGTAAGCACAGCGATAAGCAATTTGATTGGCCGAGACTTTGGAACACAATAACTCTCATTTTAATTGAGTTAGAATGTTCACACTTGGCGTAGGTGTCTATTACTATTAGGTGAATGCCTTGATGGAGTTCGAAGATGAGAATTTTCTGCTTAGGGTAAGCAGAGATAAGCAGTTTGATTTTGATGCTTTGAGATACGATAACTTTAGTTCTCATTAAGTGAGAGTGAGGACACTTGGTCTACAGCTTTATTACATCAATACCTTGACTAAGTTCGATAATGAACATTTTTTGCTAAGGGTAAGCAGAGTGATAAGCAATTTGATTGGTTGAGACTTTGGAACACAATAACTCTCGCAATCTGAACGACAGACTCACCCTACCTGCAGAGAAGTGACTCTGACACAGTGAATAGCCATGATATCCATATGACGTTAACTAAACGTCACAGGTCATGAGGTCACATCAACAAACAAATGTAAACACCATCATTATGATCATTATCAACATTACAAGACACATTGTTACATTGTAAACAATAGCCTTCTTGCAGCCTTTAGGACTGTATAATCCGTACAGAACGTCTTATCGGTTATCGTTTTTTCCAATGATTTTTCACAAAAATAACATCATCTACAACTCTAGATTTGACGTCGGCATATTGGCACTATTTTGTGCTTCGGTCGTGTCTATTTCAGATATACACAATCAATGTTTTTAGCGTGGGGATTGACTAAAAGTTAATTTATTTCAGTTCTAAACAAAAATTTAAAACTTTAACGCAATTTTTAAAAAATAGCCAAAATCTGGCTGGGATTACTGAGCAAAATGGCCATTCACTGTATACGTGCGAAAAAAAAAAGCCAGCTACCATTTAATTTTCGTACTAATTGAGGTAGAATGTCTTGACTGAGTTCAATGATTAACATTTCGAGCTGACGGTAAGCAGAGCTAATCGATTTCATTTGTCGATGGTTTGGGACAAGATAATCTTGATTCTATCTGATAGAGAGTGATGAAACTTGTGTAAGGTTTGATTGCTCGATAATTTTGAAAAAAATAAATGTGCGATTAATTAATATGTGTCATCTATTTATTTTGGGATTTCGGCGGGGGACATCAACCTCACTGTTGGCTTGTTGAAGCTAGCTTTTGTTCTGAGTGGAAACACTACTGTAATAATTGACTCGAAGCCAGCTTTTGCACTGCTGTTATTAACTTGATGAAGCTAGTTTTTGTTTTGAGTGGAAACACTATTGTAATTACATGTAACTTGAAGCTGGCTTTTTGTTTTGAGTGGAAACACTACTGTAATTAACATGAAGCTAGCTTCTTTTTCTGAGAGAAAACACTACTATGATAAATTTAATCCTTATAAGACATGTAGAAATAGATTTCACTAAAAAAATAAACACAGTTATATGGATATCCTACTTCTGAATTTTATTCACATGCTACGTTTCAATACACATACAGGTATCGTTGCTTGATAACAATACCAGTATTGAAATGTAGCATGTGAATAAAATTCAGAAGTAGGATATCCATATAAGTGGGTTTATTTTATGATAAATTAAATTAATATTTTTATTTCATTTTAGACACCTATGGTTGATGTTAATCAAAGAGGTTATGGACCTAGCTATGTTGAGCACAATCAAATGATGATGCAACAGCAGCACCATTCTCAACAACAACAACATGTTGCCCAGCAACAACATCAACAACATCCGCAACCGAATCGAGCAAATCAAGTTGGTAATATATATCAACAGTCTGGTGCAACTCAAGGTTATATGCCACAACAACAATACAGTAATCAACAATATCCTAGTTCCTACATTCCCCAGAATACAACTCAACCTAATCTTACTAGTAATTATTATAATACTAGTAATCAACAAGCACCAACATCCAACCAACAAACACCCCAACATCACCATGTACGACAGATGCAGGGTAACACTAATCCACAAGCTGTAGCAGATAATATCTTACAGTTAGCTTCCTCTTTTCCGTCAAGTCATACAGTGCAAGTTCCACTTAACAAGAACCGTCATGCACCCTACCATGTTCCTCAACCTACCCACTATAATATTCAGAATGTTCAGAATGTGAATCCTCCTAGTCAAAATCAAATGGCAATGAACCAACATAGAATGTATTCTAATTCAATGAATACAAGTCACCAACAACCTGCAAGAACTTCACCTATTAGTCCTATGCCTTTACAAAGTCCAGTATCTCACCACAGTAATCAAAGTATAGCCAGTCCAGTTTCCATGCACAGTCCATCATCTATTGGAATGCGTTCACCGGCCCAGTCACCTGGTGTAGGTATGAGATCACCCTGTGGAATGCAGGCAATGCCTTCTCCACACGGACAACCAATGAAATCACCAAGTCATGTTCAGATGGGGTACTCCCAACAAATTAATTCACCTCCGCATAGAAGTGGCAACATAAAATCACCAGTCAATCCACACCATTACTCTCCGAACCCTATGAATTCTCCAGTTAGTCAAGCCAGTTTGCATTACCAAACTTCTAACCGTACAGTTCAGAGTCCGCAAAGTAACTTTAGTCTGTCTACCTCCTCTAGTCCATATGTTAATGAGTCATTACAAGAATCTGGACAGTTTCAGAATACATGTTCAATTACAAACCCCTTACAGTCTTTACAAAAATTAGTGATGTTACCTGAAACACAAGTTGTTGACCCTAAAAGTGTTGTAAATGATGCTTGTGTACCTTCTCCACAAAATAATGATAGTTCAAAAAACTGTGATAGCTCTGCAGAATGGCTACGGGGGGATTGCAGCCATTCCGCAGGCAGCACTGATCATAGCAGTCCTGAGGAAATCCGCCCAAGCAATGCTTGTGAGGACGGTAAACATTGTAATAATACTTGTGATACAGAAAGTGTAGAAAAGCCACAAGAAATTGTCGCAACAGGTGGTATAACTGATAAACAGACTGTCTGTGATGATGTAGTTGATGACATCAGCTCAAAAGTGATCGAAAACGACATTAGTACGGGTTCAAAAAGTAAAGTAGCTGGAGAAAATTCAAATAATGAAGAGAGAAAGGGAAATTGTGTAGATAACGTTAAGACAAATCTCTTAAATGGTCTTCCTGATAAAGAAAGTCTGCAATCACATGAGGAAGAAGTAAAGCAAAAGTTATCTCCCCCAAAGAAAAAGATTCTCACGGCATATAATGAATCTTTATTGGATAATTCTGAAAAAAAATGCGATATCCCACCCAAATCTTCTTTAAATCTGGTTAATGGCAGTACAGAACCAGAACATGAAGTGTTACCTAAAGTCACATCTGCTCCAAGTTTTAAAACCAAAGAAATTTCAACTGATACATCATGTGTTATAATTGAATCAGATGATAAAATAAAAAGTGATATAAAAACCTCTATTGAATCAATTACAAAGAAACCTAGTGATGTGTCTGTGCGGAAGGCAAGAGCATTATCACCTCCCAAGTTAAGATCGATTGCTAGTGATAATTACAGTGAAGATAGTGAGGAAGAACTACGAGTGCGGAAAGATTGTGCGAATACATATTCTAGAGTGAGTCGGTTAGTGACAAATTCTTGTAGTAGTATCGAAAAATTACGAACAAATTCTGATGAAGATAGTGAAGATGAAGATTTTAGTTTCGATATAGATGAGGTGGCAGTTGAAGAAAGTGATGAATCTTCTGATATTGTTTCTGAAGGTGTTGAAGAAAATTTTCTTGAGGAGGACTTAGATGATGAGAGCGACATAAATGCTTTACGTGAAAAATTAAACTCTTATACATACCCAGATAAACTGTCAAATGATACAAATGGGTCCAATCCTGTTTCTGTGCATAATCCATCCACTGCTACAAAATCTCCTAGTTTAAATTCACCCGAAAATAAATCAAATGTAGAGAAAAAACAATCTTCAAAATCTCCACCAAACATTAGTGCTGATCATGATAGTGTCAGCATTTCTTCTGATGAAGTGGTCACACCTAGTAAAAGAACTACAAGAAATCCGAGAAATACACCACCCATTTTAAAGAGAGAAGAAGTGTTACTGAATTCTCATGACAAAAATAATGCCAAGGATACTTCTAAACGGAAACGGAAAATTTCTCACGAAATAGACTCTGATAATTTTATGGAAAAGAAAATCAAACCAGAAACTATAGAGATAATAGATTCATCATTTGATGAGGATGATGATAAACCATTGAAATGTGTTGCTGAAATTGTTGATACAAAATATACACCTTCAACCTCTACCCCTGCTTTCAACAGAGAGAAAAAAGCCCATGTGAAAACCGGGTCCTATTTGCCATCTGCTAATGTATCGGCCATTTTAAAAGAAGAAATGGATGTGTCACAAACTAGTCAGAAAAAGAAAGGTCGACCTGTTGGTAGTAAGAATAGTTTGAAACAAAAGAAGAAAGTAAAGTGTGACAAAAAATTGGATAAAAAGAAGAAGGTAGATGAAAGTAGGGAAAGTTTGAAAAATATGAAATTTGGAAAAACATTGAGCTTAATGAAGAACTCCAAAAAGAAATCTGAGTTGTGGCAAAATGCAAGCCCTTTTGTGCGTCTGTTTGGGTCCAAAATAGAACCAACTTCTGTGGTTGTCTATGACAATCAGCAGCAAGATGAGGAAGAATCGAAACAGAAAAAAACGAGGGGACCTGCGTCCTTGACGGTACAAATATCCAATTTACCATCTGGTAAGTCTGTGATGGTACCACATTCTCAGACATTAGGTGAAAGTAATTGGGTGTGTGCTTTATGTGGTAAACGTAGTAGTTATAAATTTCTAGGAGATTTATTTGGTCCATATTATTTAGACTGCCATGTGTCACTTGTGAAAAAACAATTAGAGGATGATGCTAAAAAGGATAAAAGTAAAATACCAAAAGTAACGCTTGAGAGACGGAGACGGAAATCATCTGATAGACATTCTTTAGATTCAGTTGATAAACCACAGGAAGTATGGGTTCATGAAAACTGTACATTGTGGTCAGATGGCGTTTTTCTCATAGATTCCAAAATATATGGTTTAGAAGAAGCAGTGAAAGTTGCATCATCGTCTGTAAGTGTTTTGTTCAGACATTTTACCTACAATTTCTGTTAAGAAATTGCAAGCATTATAGTACATGTACATATAGATACATGTATGGCAATATGAGAAAAAGCTTATCAGTATTTTTTCCATGCACTTATCGCATTAATTTTTGTTAATCACTTCTAGAGTGATTTCCAGGGATCTTAATCGGCTGTTTTTTGTTGGCTTTAGCCGTTTGAAGTTCAATCAAGCCGATTGGTAAAACAATAAACCGGCCACTATGGTATCATAAATCAATCTACTTTCGGCTAAATTACAACGGGTTAATTATTACTTGTTAATTTTAAGTAGTCAATCAACTTATTTGTCGGCTACAATAACAATTAGTTAGAATCGGCCATGTGGTTCATAATCCGAGTAATTAGCACGTGTCACGGTAAGTTTGATATTCCGGTATAAAAACAAAACAAGCATGCTGATTACTGTAAAACATGAAATTATTGCGAAAATTGCGAGCGAGGCCCTCTCGCAATAATTTCATGTTCGTAATAATTTTGTGAAAATTCGTTGAAATGTCGGCCATATTGAATTATCCCCCCTTCATTACTCTTCACAAGAAAGAGTCCCAATAAGTACCAATATTGCCATTTTGAAAGTAATAACAATGTCGCATGCCATGTGTTTTATAGTCGTTCGTCAGCTTGGAGTTAATCAGGGGATTTAATTTAACAATAATTATTTAAAAATTGAGTTTGATAACAGGTATTTAATTTTCTTTGATCTGTTGAATACAGACTCAAAGCCATAATCCTCAATAGTTGTTTATTTACTGTTACTAATGATCACCAATCAACCGATAATAATATATTATGATTCTCCATTGTTGATGACATGTGACATCGATTGGAATTAGGTCAATAACCCAGCGATTTTAGTTTTAAATAGCGTTTACCGTTATGATTTTTATACGCCCACATTGAAATGTGGACGTATATTACCGTCGCCACCGTCCGTCTGTCGGTCCGTCGGTGGGTCCGTCTGTCCGTCGTCCACAATTTCTTGTGAACGCTCTAACGCCTAAAGTTAACATCCAATTTTTTTAAAATTGATATATGTTGTTTACATTAGTGAGATAAAGAAGCCTATTGAATTTCAATAATTTCCGTTTATTACGTCTAGAGTTATGGCCCTTGTTTCACTATGTTGAACCTTGTGAACGCTCTAATGCCAAAAGTTAACATACAGTCTTTGTGAAATTTATATGCAATATTTAAGTTAGTGAAACGAAGAAGCCTATTGAATTTCAACAATTTCTGTTTATTACGTCTAGAGTTATGGCCCTTGTTTCACTTTATTGAACCTTGTGAACGCTCTAATGCCAATAGTTATCATCCGATCTTTCTGAAATTTACATGCATTATTTAAATTAGTGAAACGAAAAAGCCTATTGAATTTCAGCAATTTACAATAATTACTTCTAGAGTTATTGCCCTTGTTTCACTTTATTGAACCTTGTGAACGCTCTAACGCCAAAAGTTATCATCCGATCTTTCTGAAATTTATATGCATTATTTAAATTACTGAAACGAAGAAGCCTATTGAATTTCAGCAATTCCCGTTTATTACATCTAGAGTTATGGCCCTTGTTTCACTTTATTGATCCTTGTGAACGCTCTAACGCAAAATGTTATCACCCGATCTTTGTGAAATTTATATGCATGATTTAAATTAGTGAAACGAAAAAGCCTATTGAATTTCAGCAATTTACAATAATTACTTCTAGAGTTATTGCCCTTGTTTCACTTTGTTAAACCTTGTTAATGCTTGATTGATGATAGTTATCATCCGATATGTATGAAAATTATATGCATCATTTAAATTTGTGAAACAGGTCTATTGAATTTCAGCAATTTCCGTCAATAATTTCTAGAGTTATGTCAATTGTGAACGTTTGAATGACAAAAGTAATCATTTGATGTGTATGAAATTATATGCATTATTTAAATTAGTAAAACGAAAAAGCCTGTCAAATTTCAACAATTTCTGTAGATTACTTCCAGAGTTGAGACCCTTGTTTCAGTTTGTAGAACCATGTAAACCCTCAAACGACAAAATTTTTAATCTGATCTGTATGGAACTGTCTTTAAAGGACCCCAATTACCTACAAAGGAATAAATATGCGACAACCCTTGACGACTGCTCGGACGATTTAGCTGCTGTGGGCGTATGTTTTGTTGCCTGGCAACCTATCTTTTTATTTTATTCACATGGTGACAGAGGCTTAATTCTTAAAATATTGTCGTTATTATTATTGAAAGCTATATGGCATAGTCGTATGGAAGTTAATTTTAAAGCCATTTCAATTATAGTTGTCGCGTGATCACTGTGCCGTGTGTCTATCATGGACGAATGAATAAAAATGTTTGCAAGTTACGTGATAGAAAAAACCTACAAATTGTGTTATGAAGAAATACCATGGTGCCGTATCAGCTTAATCCATCCAAAAAAATGAATACAGTAATTAATTCAGGAATATTACTGACATGAATTTCAATCTGGTACGTGAATTAAATATGAAAAAAATTTCCGAATGGTGTACCTGTTTGTCGTTATTTTTTGTCGTAATTACATGTAGTAGAATACGATATTTCTCATAATAAATTACCAAGTATTATTTTTGTTTAAGTCTGGTTATAATGTATATGAGGCTTTCTTTCATTAAACCGGCTAGTTTTCAAGCATTATATATCAGAAACTGACATGGAATAAAATATGTAGCAACTAGCTGACCCTACACTCAGTAATAATAATAATAATGTCTGACAAACAACAGTTAACGCTCTCGTCATATTTCAACAAGAAACATAAAAAAAGATGATATTATTGAGTGGATTTTCGGTGGTACATTAATCAAATCTCTCAACTGACAATTTGTCATACAAAATTAACTTGTCAAAATCAATCTCGCTGTCACTGAATTTGGAAGCAATTTTCAGGAGGCGTAACTCTGCGTGTTGAAGTGGTGGCACTGCGAAGAATGATCATTTCTTATCACTGTCACGGTCAATTGATATATAATCATTTACATGTATAGTATATTGATTTTCAATAACTTGAACAGCTAAATCCATGATATTAAATGTTTTGTATACTAAACATTAGCATGGGCCCAAAAAATTCCAATGATTTTGTGATAATTACTTAATGATTTGTTACTCTTAATCAGAGTTTAATGTATTATAAACGTTTCATTACCAACAAAAGTAAAAATATGTGACAACACATGTTGACTGCCTGGACTATTTAGCTGCTGTGGGCATATGTTTTGTTTCCTGGCAACCTTTCTTTCTTTTCTTAACATAGTTAAACATTTGGACATACATTATGCAAGAACTAAATCTGCCTATTGCAGGTCTTTTTTTAGGCCTAAAATGTTATCTAAATTATTAATTAGACATTAATTAACTTATCCAGACCATAATCAACTCTCAGTGTCATCGCTAGCCTGCACTGTTTATTGGTTTAGGTTCCGATTTGCTGTTTGACTTCCATTCATGATTTAATCATGAAATGGATAATCGAGACTATGTTTTTTATCTTACCGACTTTGTACTTTAGTAATGATGATCAAGGCTAGGTCTAAAATTCAATCGCTAAAATCTCGGTTCAGAGTGGATCAATTTGACTGAAATTTTCAGTAAATTCCCTTACATTATCTAGTTTTTAACTATTATAGTGAGAACTGCCTGCTCTTTACATGTATCTAATCTCCCATAATGTATCTTTAATTTTGTATTTTACTTTATTGAAGAATTGTTCAGGCTGTAAAGAAGCTGGTGCAATGATAGGATGTCTACACAAGGGTTGTAATCAGAAATATCATTATATGTGTGCTGCTGAATCCAGTAAGTTTCATATTATTTTGAAATTTCTTTCATCAAGTATTGTTTACAATTTTGTATTTTGTTTAATCAGTTAGAGTGGTCTAATGAATTGTGCTTTAGATCATGAGGTTTGTCATTGAGTCATGTGGCGTGGTTTCAAATCGAAGCTTGTATGTGACGGGGAGTAGAATCTCTAACCTTGTGGGTTTTCTCTAGGTCATGAGATTTCCTCTTACTGTCAAAAACACCTAAATGCAAGCGAATTATTGATAAAAGTTTGTGTAATGTTAGTTCTGAAATGATCTGGTTTGTGTCAAGTGGACATTGAACCCTATTTATCTTGTGTCTCACCTCAGGTCTTTCTCACTGAATAATGTAATACTACATATATGTCCAGATTTGAAAGCATTACAAAATAGCAAGCGTATACCAGTCAGTGTCCACCACCCATATTAGCTGTATGTAGTGACCAAGGCCTGAAGTGGACAGATACTGTAATTACTCTGGTAGAACCTCTTATTTTGTATTAATAGTAACAACACAACTCACTGTACAGTATTTTTGTTTTTACTTTGCAGAGTGTTATTTAAATGAAGACAATTTCTCTCTTCTGTGTGTCAAACATAAAGTAAGTAACAATATTGTAAACTCAAATAATATTGTTGTGTTACTCATTGAGACGTATACTTTTTAAACTTGAACACCTTTGTTGTGCATATACTGTAGGAAGCTAAAAGAGTCATGGTGGCTCAGTTGGTAATGTACTGACTCGCTAACCTGCATTTCCGGTTTTTGATATCAAATTTTCCAATATCAATAGATGCCTGGCAAGGAACAGCATCTAGTCATTCAGGTGGTACGAAAAAAACCACTGAGATCCTGTGTACAACTTGAGATCCTGTGTACACCTTGGCGTACCTGTCAAAAAAACAACTTGACAGTTGGCATACATTTGCTTTCTAGGCCAAATTTCCCTCCTGGCATACTGCAATGCATATGCCTGTCTTCATTAGCCTAGTCGGTGCAGAAATATTAGAGGTTATTCATTCATTCCATTGGGCCTTTTTTTTTTGCCTGGGACTAGGGGTTTCAGGTCAAAGTTTCAAATGACAGAAACAAATTTTTAAAAATATTTTGTGAAAATATACATAAAATGCTACCCAAATTTTTTATTTCATCAAAATATTCTAATTAGATTCAAAGTTATGGAATTTTAAAATCTGAGATCGACGTCAATAATGTAATCAAAATGCTCTATACCAGTCAATGCATGGCATTGCACCAAAATAAGTGCTTTTCACTTTCAGTCATATCTGTGTGACGTCATAAGCGGTATTTTCCCTTCAGAATCGCTAGTACCAATTTTAAAACTGAAATCCGCACGTTATTGTCAGCTAAGATTTATTAAAATCGTAATAATTTGAATGATAATATGTCAAATATTTATAATGTGGATGATACCACAAAAAAAAGTAGGCTATATTAAGTCGAAATTTAGCAAATTTCAGTCATCAAAACATATAAATCCCATTTTCTACGGCTGTAATTGTCGGATCTCGGAGTATCACACGCCATAATAATCACAAAAATGTTATCTATCGTTTGATTGGTTCTATATCAAAATCCACTAGAAACTTAGGTGCGAATTCACCAATGAAGTGAGCAATCAAGGTTCGCACACTCCTTGAAACTCCTTGAAAATCCTGGAAAAATGAAAATGTGATTTCCAGTACTAGAAAATCCTGGAAAAGCTGGGAAATTAACATTTGTGGTTTCGTGTGTTAGCTAACCTGTTTTTCCGTGAGACTCACAAATTCGCAGCTCTTCTCCAGCACGGGAGGAAATTTCTCATGAAAAATGGTCATATGCCAATGCTACTTTTACTTTCCCAAAGGGAGAAACTCCCTTACTTCCATTTCAAAAATCAACCTCATGATTGGTTAAAATTGACCGGAAACTTTTAATTCCGGTAATATGCTTGACAGCCCAATGTGTGTTTGTGATTATTATTGTTTGGAATAAATAAATTATATTGTACTGGTAGCATGGTGAATGAGGTACCTGATAAAATAGAGACCTGTACAAGGTTCTTTCCATTACAATTATTTTTCCCCATAGCTAGTAGTCGTAAACGTCTATGCGATTTTGACAATTCTCCCACGAAGAGCAAACGTTTCACGCCACGTGACTTTAGCGTGAAATCGGAAGCCGTTGACTGACATTCTGCCGACTTTCAATCAGCGATTTTGGATTACTTTTTCATCTCATTATATTACTAGCAATAATAGTATTATAATACTTTGAAATCGATCTCAATACATGCAGATAATCTGACTCAAAGGTTATCTAAATATAAGCGCAATTATCGTTTATGTACAGGAAACACTAGCGGGAAAATACCCCTCTGAAATCACGTTTCCAGGGATTTCCATTCACGCGATTACAGCCATAGACTATAAAAATTTTATATATTATCGTTCAAATTATTATGATTTTTATAAGTTTCAGCTGGCTAATATTCGAGGATTTCAATTTTAAAATTGTTACGAGCGATCCTATACCCCTTATGACGTCACTCAGATATGACTGAAAAGCACTTATTTGCAGTTTTTGGGTAGCATTTTATGTATATTTTCACAAAATCTTTCAAAAAATTATTTCTGTCATTAAAAATATTGATCCGAAACCGAAAAAGAATTTCTTTCTGATGTACACAGCAAAAATTGAGTGCACAGATATAAAGTTCTTAAGAATGATGAATGAAAATGAAGTTATTTGATGAAAAAAAAAAAAATCTCCCGTTCAGTTTTTTTTCATTGCTAGTGTGGGGGTTGACACGTCTGCTATTTATTTTAAAATATAAAACTGAAAGTAGTCATGATTGTTTCTTCAAAAGTTCACGAATTCGTCGCCGTAAATGGACGTCTTCGGTATTTCGTCAATCTAATTTTGAAGAGATCCTTTATTTCTTCGAGTCAGGAAAACAATGTTCTTTAAGCGTAAAAAAAAAGATACATTATGATATAGAATTCTATACAGGGACTCCTGGAATCTGATAAATAACTCCTGGAAAACTCCTGGAATTTTAAGTTTTCTGCATTGTGCACACCCTGGCAATGGAAAATCCCCGGCCGCATGACGTCAGAGCGGTATTTTCCTGTAAGTGTCTCATGCAAATCAACGGTAATTTCGCTTACATTTCGATAAATTTTGAGCCTGAATATTTGCAGATATTGAGATCGATATTAAACTATTACAGCACAATTGCTAGTAATACATTTACATAAAATAGTAATTCAGAATCGTAGATTGAAGTGGGCTATATTTCAGCCGCTGGCTGTCCGATTTCACACTAAAGTCACATGACCTGAAACCCCTACTGGGCAAAGATTTCTCAGGAAATAGGACAATAGAATATGTATAAATATCAAGTTGGACATATTGCATGTTGTTCAAATCGGAGATAGTTATATTTGTTCTCTATGTACTTCTAATTGACGTAAAAATGTTCATTAGGTGAACGTCATGAATGAGTTCGATAAGAGGAGCATTTATTGTTTAGTCAGAGCAGCTGTCTGTCTATCACACATTTTGGAACACAATAACCCAGCTTCTAATTGAGGTAGAATGTTCAAACTTTGTCAAGTTGTTCGTTATGTGACTTCGACAATGAGCATTTCTCCATAGGCTTAGGAGCTGTCTGTCCGAACATCACATTTTCGGAACACAATAACTTGACATTTAATGGAGGTAAAACTTAAGTTTAGTTTAAATGTTTGTAAGGTGAATCGGGGGGTTGGATGGCTGAATGGTTAGCGTGCGCGCGCTGTATCATAAAGTCTGTCATTAAGTCGACTGGCGTGGTTTCGAATCCCCGCTTGTACGTGGCAATGAGTAGGGTTGCCTGTCCAACTTTGTGGGTTTTCTCTGGGGCCTCCGGTTTCCTCCCACTGCTAAAGACCCCTACGCGCAAGCGAATTATGTAAATAAAATGACCTAGTTTGTGTCGAGTGGACGTTAAACCCCATTTCTCTCTCTCTCTGTAAGGTGAATCTCTTAACTGAGATTGATGGAGTAACCTTTTCTGCTGATGCTAAGCAAAGATAAGCAATTTGATTGGCCAAGACCCTGTTTTCCCCACAGACTGCATAATTAACACCCAATAATACACATAATCTGCAATGCCCAGGGCTTCCGACAACCAGTATTGCAGCGCAATTTGAAATACATATTTTGTCCGTTGCTAATCAAAAATTAAAATCAAACGTTTTTGATTCGCAGTAACTGCGAATCATTAGTATGCCTGTCATTAACTCATTTTGGATATTGACATGAAGATTTATCCACAATTTGAAGACTAGAAGGATTTCTCAACACTTTCAATGTGTATAAAATGTCAAATAAAATTTTGACATTTTTTGCTGGGGTTAAACAGTTTGATTGCTCAGTGCTTTATAAGAAAAATAGATGTGCAAGCAATTATTATGTGTTGGGGGTAGGGAGTAGATGGCCAAATGGTTAGCGTGTGCTTGGTTGATTTTAATTCCCTGGTTGTACGTGACGAGGAGTAGGTCGCCTGTCCAACCTCATGGGTTTTCTCCAGGTCCTCCGGTTTCCTCCAACTGCTAAAAGACCCCTATGTGCAAGCAAATTATTGAAATAAAATTGAACCATGTGTTAATCCCGAAATGACCTAGTTTGTGTCGAGTGGACGTTAAACCTCATTTCTCTCTCTCCCATTAATATGTATCATCTACTGACTTGGGGATGAAAGCAGGGAAATGTTTGCTAGTTTCTCATGCAATATATTATGGTAATTAAAATGATTTTTCAGGACAAGCGGAGGAGGACAGAAGCATCTACCAGCAAAACTTGACAGTAGGTAAGCTATATTCTGTATTTTATATCTTATATACCGTTAGTAGAAATAATCTTACAACATGAAAGTAGTGAATTATGCATTGGATGTTATTCCCATTGTTGTCAAGTCATGAAATTGTTATTCCCATAAATTCTCATTTCCAGGATAGGATGCTGTACTTTAACCCACATTTAAATTTGTTCATTTATTGTTGTCGCCTTGTACCATTTCTCTTAGTTGTTTCATTAATCTTTCAGTATTGATTATTGAAGGCCATTGGATGTCTTTCTCTTCATTCTCCACAGTATGTAAAAAAAATACAGTAATTTGATAGTTTTATTGTTATATTTCTTTTGTTATATTTTCTTAGGTATTGCTTTCATTTGTTTGTTGTTTTTTTTCAGATAAAGTGAGAAGTTAGTGAAATCCAACTTATCCTATGTAACGAACTAGTCCTTTGGATGTTGGTAGGAAGAATGAGAGTGACAGCTATGATGATGCTTGTATATTGATAACGACCTCACATGAAGTGCGATGTAGGAACTAAATGGGCTTGTTGGTGCAGGTGTTGCTTATGTACCGTATAACAATTAGTTATACAACTATCACATTATAATAGAGAGAAAATATCAAAATTGAAAATTATAATCAGCTAAAATCCTTGCTTGTTGATCATATCAATTAGACCTAATTAGTTTGAAATCATAGACAATTATTAGGATTGATTTTATTTGGTATCCAGATATAAATTGCTTATCAGTTCTAAATCATATTATTATTTATAAATATGTTATAATGTGTTCATTAATAATTAAATACTGATGTTTAACACTCAATACACTTGTATATTCTTACTTTAATAATTATTTGGTTATATTTTATGTTATGGACTCTTAATATGTTTTGTTTGTGTATGAGTGAATTTGTTCAAATTTGGATGTTATGTTACTTCGTGCTATTTTGTAATTTGTGAAAATTCAGCTCATAAGTAAATACTATATTGCCAAGGAGTTTTGTATAGAATTAGATGGTGACATACAGTTGTACCTTCTGAATTGAATAAAAAGTAATAATATATAAAGACTTTTATACACCCACATATTCATGTGGACGTATTATGCCGTCGCCCCTGTCTGTCCGATGCGTCCACAGTTTGTTTGTGGACACTCTACAGGTCACAATACTTATCTGATTTTAACGAAACTTGAAATAAGTTTATCTCCAAAAGATCTTGGTTCCTTTCGATATTGGCATGTATTGGATCAAAACTTCATGGATTATGGCCCCTGAATGTACGAAAACTCACGTTTTTAGCTTGTGGACAATCTAGAGATCACAATTTTCATCTAATTTTGATGAAACTTGAAATGCATGTTTATAACTCAAAGATCTTGGTTCCTTTTGATATTTGTGCATATCAGATTGTAACATCCTGAATTATGGCACCTGATTGTTTAAAAAATCACGTTTTTAGCTTGTGGTCCCTCTAGAGGTCACAATTTTTATCTGATTTTAAAAAACTTTTTAATATATCACCGTTACACTATAATGTAGGTTGAATTCAAATTTCGTGAAAATCGAACCAAAACTGCTGGACAAAATGGCCGCTCCTCATACGCAAATTACTGTAAAAATACGATGCAACAAGGTTGTCGACCTCTAGAGGTCACAATTTTCATTCGATTTTGATGAACCTTAAAATGCATGTTTATAACCCAAAGATCTTGGTTCCTTTCGATATTGGCATATTGGCGCATATTGAATCGTAACTTCCTGAATTAATGGCCTCCGATTGTACACAAAATTGCATTTTTAGCGTGTGGTTCCAATTTTTATCAGATTTAAAAAAACATTCGAATATATCACCGTTATGCCATAATGTTAACCAATTTCAAATTAAATGGAAATTGGTGGATTCTCTAGAGGTCATAATTTTTATCTGATTTTAAAAACCGTTTAAATTATCAACATCCCACCATAATGAAGGTTGAATAAGAATTCTGGGAAATCAAAATGGCAGCTCTGCCTATGGCACAATACTAGATCTTTGTCCGATCTGGAAAATATCTTTCTCTAGGATTAAGGTTTGGGTTAGGTTTACAAATTACATGTCAAACGTACAAATTTGAAGCTGTAAAAACGGTGGATTGTGGGTAAAACTATTCTGAAGGGTTAGGGTTAGAATTGTGGGTATAAACACGGAAAGATATTCTCCAGATCGTACAAATTGTGTTAAAGTATGTAATACGAAGGTTGCGGACCCTCTAGTGGTCACAATTTTTATCCGATTTTGATGAAACTTAAAATATATCTTTATATCCCAAGATCTCAGTCCCTTTCGATATTTGCGCATTTCAGAACATAACTTTCTGGATTATGGCCCCTGATTTTACGAAAAATCACTTTTGTTTTTAGCGTGTTCTCTATCCATCTTTTGCAAAATGTGGGCGTATCTTGCCTGGCAACCGCTGGTTAATAGATGTAGTGTTTTCTCTGATATTTAGCAGATTTTTCTGTGATCAATTTCTTAATTAAGACCACAAAATATTCCATTGGAGTACTCTTTTTCTTCAAGTAGGGGGTGGATGGGTGGCCGAATGGTCAACCCGTGTGTATTGCATTTCGATTCCCTGCATGTACGTGACAATGAGTAGGGTCGTCTGTCCAACTTCATGGGGTTTCTCTGGGTCATCCGGTTTCCTCCAACTGCTAAAAACACCCAACTCGCAAGCGAATTATTGAAATGGAATTGAACAATATGTTAGTCCTGATATGTCCTAGTTTGTGCAAGTGGACGTTAAATACCATTTCTCTCTCTTTTACAAGTAAATTTCCTCAGTTTATTCATAGCATTTAGCATCATTATTGTCTATTAAATCCTACAATCATCAGGCATACATGCATCAGACTATCTAATGGAATGACTGGAACGTAGAAATATTTTATTTTTCACCTTATTATAGATCTAGATTTCTGTATATTTTTATGGTTGAACAATTAAATCGTCTAAACTTCCTAAATTTGGCCTTAAACTGATTATATTTGGTAAAACTGTCATTGAAACAAACTCAGACTAGTAGTGCGAGTTATAAATAGACAATTTTTTCCTATAATTTTTTTCTCCCCTCTTCCTGCATTTTTTGGTTGACTTTTGGGTCTAGAATTGGAGAAAAGGGATCAAATTTGCAATTTCATAGCAGTTTTGGGTAATACTGATGATATTACAGCGGAGGGATAAGGGGTGTAAAGTGTCTTTCTGCAGAGCAATCATTGTGTCGGAAGTGAGATTTTCACCCCAGTCAACTTCAAATCCCTGTAGCAAAAAATCTAAACAGTCAACCCCCTACAAAATTATGATGAGGAAATTGCCAAATGTGGCCCCCATTGTGCCTATAAAGATTGGAACCAACGGAATGTTGAGCTAAAAGCTACAGCCTGTGATGTTACAGTCATTTAACATTGAAGTCAATGGCATGGGCAAATAATTGCTAGTCCGAGTCCAAACGTGTCATAAGAGTTACTTCCCTTATATAAAATAGTCACCTCAGCAGATTCCAGTATAGACTGGATAACCTGCTCTAATACGTCAGACTCGCTCCTACGTCACTCCTTTTCTGACTTGCATATATATTGAAGTCAGAGTCATAGAAATATAGACCAGCGCAGTGACGTAGGAACCAGTCTGACGTCATTTAGAGCAGGTTATCCAGTCTAATTCCAGTACCCTACATCTAGACTGGACAACCTACTCTAAATGACGTTAGGGTTCCTACGTCACTCCTTTTCTGACTTGCATATATATTGAAGTCAGAATCATAGAAATATAGACTAGCGCAGTGACGTAGGAACCAGTCTGACGTCATTTAGAGCAGGTTATCCAGTCTAATTCCAGTACCCTACATCTAGACTGGACAACCTACTCTAAATGACGTTAGGGTTCCTACGTCACTGCAGAAGTGACGTAGGAGCGAGTCTGACGTATTAGAGCAGGTTATCCAGTCTACCCTATATCCGATTTTCTTCGAGCAAGGACAATAATTTTGTACTGAAAATTCTAGACATGCTTCGAACGACGCAATTTTGATAACTTGTTTTTAAAAGCGGCAAGTGTTCCTACTAATAAGTAAACCGGTGCCACATCGCGTAGGTACATATCACTTACCCACACTGATCAGCAGCGAATTTTCGCTGGGCCGCTACAATCACTGATTAGGATGACATCGATGCGACTTTATGAGTCCCAAATATTAACTTTTTTCTTCCGTCAAATGAAATTTTAAAACATTTTTTTCATTTATTAGAAAAATAAATAAAGACGTTTGAATTGTTTGTAGGTAAAAATCATTTCCTATTTAGTGTAAATGGGTATTAAAATAAGTAAAATTGACCATTTAGCCCGAATCAGTAACGTCTTATGTAAAGAATGCACGCGCTATTGAGCCAATGATTGACGCCGCGTGATGTGACGTCACGTGTCGAAACAGTCATCTGTAACAGAGATATTAAAAGATCTCTGTGAAACAGATTGATCACTTACCGTCATACTGCCGAGGCTAGATGTAGAGTAACGAAATCTGTCGAGGTTTGCCGAGTGAGTCAATCATTTGACTTGATCGGTTGTGCGACGCTCAAGTGAGGTAGCTTACCTTCATTCAAAAGCTGCATTGTGATATTTTTTTTATGGCTATCTTTATATATAATAAAAGTATGAAGATTTTTTTACTGTATAACATTTTAAATGTTCTACACAATACATGTATCCAGTTCTCTTCGGATCATTATAAGATGATCAGAGATATAATGATCAGATGTAGCCTATTCTTTTAAAAATTGATGTAAACATGACAATTTTGTATATACGTATAGATAAAACTAACCAAATGTGTAGCAAGAGGTTATTTTGTTAGGTTTTATTGCTGTATAGAATATTTTAGATTCAATACTCTGCAGACTGGTGACATGCCTGGTATAGTCCGAGCCCCGAGCAAGATAATATTAGTAGCCTACTGGCAGTTGCTGCAATTGAAATGCCGACCACGGTTTATGGTCGGTCTAGACGCATGTTATTACCCAAAAAAGTGTGTCCAAATGGGTCAAAATGTCCAAAATCCAAAATGACCGCCGATTCTGGCATGAAAATTCCAATTTTCACCCAATTGTCATAGGCGGGGGCAGATCCCGAAAGCACGAAAAAAATTTCGAGTTAGCCTACAGGTGGCAGCGCCGGTTTTCTGTGAGAGCGGAGCTTACCGTGCAAAGTGGTCCAATTTTGCCTAATTAAGATGGCTGACCGGAATTCCAATCAAGCAATCAATCGTTTATAGTCCACGGAGACGGTACCGTCAGGAGAAAATTTTGAAAATTTAACTGCCGCAAACGCGTTTTTCTGCTATTCCAGGAACTCCAGTGCGTCTCAATATAGTCCACCTTAGGTGGCTGACTTGAATCCCGAACAACCAATCAATCATCGTGGGGTATGGGGGCCTCGCCCTCCCGAAGAGTATTTTGAAAATCTAACACCCGCAAATGCCTTTTTGTGCTATACTGGCCCGTGAGGTAAGCAACTACAAAATCATACTCCTGGCAGTGTTTTATTTAATTAGACCTAATCCCACTCAGACACTGCTGTAATGAAAGCAAATTTATGTTCCAAATTATGACTGGTCAATAGTCCGATAAACAAACGATACCTTACTGCGTAACAATATCAGTCGGGTTTAAACAGAGCTCCAAATTGGACCAAATATGTTTACATAACGTTACGTCATGACTCACAAAATTTATTACTCCCAATTAACCAGTGCATAGCAAAATATTGCAGAAAATCTAATTGTGTGACAAACGAGGCTATCAAAACGGCTACATTGTAAACAATACTGTTTGGAGACGAACAATACTTTCACCGTTGTTAATATCAATGTCCAAAGTTTCAGGAAAGACCCCTGATTAAACGAAGGGTTGTCATCTTGCTGTACTTAGGAGAGATTTGATTGAACGGGATTTCTCGGGCCATTGCTTCAGGAATATGAGCAGAGCTAAGCAATTTCATTGGTCGATGCTTTCTGACAAGATAACTTTGATTCTAACTTGTGACTGATTTTGATCGTGAACATTTTCTGCTTAGACTAAGCATAGATAATCAGTTTTATTGCTCGATACTTTTCAAAAAGATAAATGTGCAATTAAATCAGTTTTGGAAATTTAATGAAACTACCCTAAAATATATTGTATTTATCCTACTAAATACACGGCTAATCTGGTCACAGATCCTACCAAGAAAACATGAAACAAAAGCTAGAGCTTTTATCCGACAAACATCACGCCTAAATAGTTGTGCTTCCATGCAAGTTTTACGGTTGGGAGGGTCCTACATTCATTATCCCGATTTAAAATACATATGTGACGTCATTCTTTGATGTTGGCGTACCATTATTTGAAATAATGGTACGGGCAATGTGTCAAGCGTACATTATTTATACTAGTTGCAATATTTGACCCGCGTGACGCATTTCATTGAAATGCACGTGCTGGATAGTGTCTGTATTTTAAGCTGTTTAATGGTCTCGTGCAAGACAATGAGTAATATGTGGATATTGCACTCGTGCTATCGCACTCGTCCAATATCAATATATTACTTAATGTCTCGTACTCGACCATTAAACTTGGCATAAAATTCAAATTTGAAAATTTATATAGAGATGATAAAATTCACCTCTCTGACACTGGCAATGATATATTCCTTTAATACAATTCAGGCCCCCTTGGAATTTTTTCACTGCAATTTCGGCTCAGTATATGCCCCATCTTACTAGTTATTAGTTAGGATGGTCTTCTATGCTGGAATTCAAGATAACTAAATAGATACAATAGGGGGCGCTGGCTCGCTAGCCTGGAGGTGGGGTGTTCGATCCCTGCATTGGCCGAGAAAGTTCATACAGATTTTCCGGCGCCCCACCCCCCTTGTTAGGGATGCAGGACGGGGGGCCTGGCAAGGACAGCTGTCTAGTCGTTCGGATGGGACGAAAAAACGAGGTCCCGTGTAAACATTGTCGTGCACGTAAAAAGATCCATTGACAGGTGGAATTCGATATAAGTGTAGGCCGTAGTGCCGCTGTCGATTTTATGGCGGTGATGCGGATTCAAAAAATGTACCTGCAATAACGCTCACAAATTCAAGATATGACAGACTTGCTACCTCAGATTGTTCGGGTCAAGTCATACCAAGGTCATAAGTGAATGTGACTTGCCAATGCGACAGTCATTAATGAACTTAAGTGAAAATAATTGACGAATTTGTTGTTTATTGAAATCTGAAGTTATAAATTTTAATTAATAATAGTTTTATTCAATGATAAAGTAACGAAAGTAAATTGAATTGAAGTGATCTTGAATTAAATGAATTGAACTTGATTGAAATGAATTAAAATGAATTGAACTTGATTGAGGTGAATTGAAATATGAATTGAACTTGATTAAAATGAATTGAACTTGATTAAAATGAATTTAACTTGATTGAAGTGAATTGAACTTGATTGAAGTGAATTGAAATATAAGAATTGTATTGTTGAATTATTGTTTGTGTTACATTAACGGTGCCATATCTCCGACAAACCTTAATAAATAGTTTTAATTTTACTTTGCATTTTGCGGCGGGGGACATCAGCCTCACTGTTGATTTTAAAAACCGTTCAAATATATCACCGTTACACCATAATTACAGTTGAATTCGAATTTCGTGAAGACTGGATCGAGACTGTCTAACAAAATGACTGCCCCCCCCCCTCCCTTACGCAAACAGTATAATTAGTCTAATATACCAAGGTTATGGACCCTCTAGGGGTTACAATTTTCATCAGATTTTGATGAAACTTAAAATATATGTTTTTATCCCAATGATGTCAGTTCCTTTCGCTCATGTTGGACCCTAATATCCTGGATTATGGCTCCTGATTGTACGAAAAATCTCCCTTTTTTAGCTCGTTCTCTGTCCATTTCTTGCA